ATATAACCATGGGGGTGGAGGGAACAGATTGTCCAAAAGGGTTGAACTCTCATTTTACCCCGAAGATAAAGGTAGTTAGTTAGTAGAGGTGGAAAATGTCTGTCTTTATCGCTCTGCCAAGTTCTGATCTAGTATTGGATTACAAGAGCTCGGCGGGAAAATAATATGCCTTTAAGTGACCTGTCAATTAAATACTTACCCTGCTTCCACATACACACTTCAGTAAGCAGAACAAAATGGCGCCCAGGTTTGGCTGACTGGGTGGATGCAGGTCCTCTGTCCCTGCCACTGTGGTCCTCTGTCGGTGCTGCTATGTGAGATGCCTTCCACTCTCCACACTTTGAGAAGTGTCTGAGGCTGGACACGTAGCTCAGCCTTCGAGCACCTCCCTAGGATGTGCACAGACCTAGGTTCAGTGACTACCACGGTAGGAAGAATAGAAAGAGGAGGGAGAAGAGGAAGAAAAAAGACAAGGAGGAGATGGTAGGAAAGGAGGGGGAGGAGAGGAGAGGGGTAAAGAAAGATGAAGAAGAGGGAGAGGAGAGAGTGTGCCTTTTGAGGAAGTCCCCAATGAGATAGACTAGTCAGCATCTTGTCTGTCACAGTGCAGGATTATGAGATAGCTTTTCTGTCTGATTTACTCCCCTCCAAAAGGAAGTGTAATTTATTTGGCTGTCTCACAATGATTTATTATTATATACAAACATATGATAAACAATTGCATATTACACGTTTAAAGTGAAGACTTGAGTAAATTATGTTTTGTGCCCACTACATGGTGACACTCTTGTTATTTCCTCTTGTTAATTCTCTCATTAGTGATGTCAGGTCACATTCTGACAATCAAAGCTGTCACTCCTGACTCCTAGTGACCTTACACTTCTGACCTCTGACAACAGACACTCCTAGGTCTCCTTAATCGTCACATAGCTTGTTCTCGTTCCCTGGCGTTCCCATGCCTGGATGTCTGAGGAGGAACTCTGAGGAAAGCCGGGCCTGTGAACCCCGATGCTGTTTGCTTCCTGGGGTGATCTCTTGGCTTACATTACTGTCTGCTGTCAATCTCTGTGCCACCCACCCTCAGGTTTCCCTTCAGAACAGGCAATGTGTTTCTGCTCTCCTGTGGATATTCAAACCACACACTTAGACTGTGTAGATACGACCCATGTTTGCATCCTTCTTCACGGGGCAAATGAGAAATCTGATGGTTATTGTACTTCTGTGAAGTCAGTTACTATTTACTTTCTAAACAGAAACAAACTGAGAGAGAGAGAGAGAGAGAGAGAGAGAGAGAGAGAGAGAGAGAGAGAGAGGGAG